CCTCGTGACCTCGTCGCCGTTTCCCCCTTTCCTCTCCGCCGGGCGCCGCCGCCGCAATCCGCCGCCGACGGACTCCCTCCGGCGAATCCAAGCCGTTGGCTCGTTACCTCTCTTTCTCCCACGTCATCCCGGTGTACGCCCCGTCGCCCCTCATCGTCGCAAGACGCCCCGGAGAAACCACCGCCGCCCGCCGTCCATTCGCGGCCAGCGCCTTCGTCTTCCTCCCGCCAGCCCGCGTGGCAACCACGTAGGCGCCACGTCGGCGCCAGCTCGGCCGAGATCGGGTCGGGCCGACCCCGGTCAGCCCCCTCCCGTGCGCGCGTTCCACCGCGAGCCGTGAGGCTACGCGTGGGCCCGCCGCATCCGTTTCACCGCGAACCACGCGCGTGCACCGCATCCCTTTCCCCGCACGCGCGCGTGCGCCGCGTGCTCCCTCCGCACGGTGAGCCGAGCCGCTGACAAGCGGGTCCCACTCGTGACCGCGCGTGGTGAGCCCGGTCCACCGGCGCTCTCTCTCCTCCCCTCCCGCGCGCTCGCCTTGGGCCGCCTTGGGCCGGCCGGCCCATTTAGCTCAGCCGGACCGCCCCAATTCTCTCGAGCCGCGCCCTAGCCGCCGAGGAAAAGTCTATTTTCCCTCCCTCTTTTCTTTTCTTTTCTTTTCTTTTCCAAAAAGGATTTAATTAAATCCTTTTCCTGTAGACCAAAAATCCAATAATCTTAGAAATTCAATATCTTCCCAACCGTAAATCCGTTTGACTCCGTTCAACTTCCAAAATTCCTCAAATCTCGAGATCTATCTAATGGCACGCTTAGAGGTCATTAATAGGGCTTTATTTTCGCCGTTTGTTGAGTTGTCCCGTTTCGCGTGTAGTTTCGGAGCCCGAAGACCCGCAGCGCGAAGATTTCGAGGATCAAGCTCCAGATCTCGAGCAAGGCAAGCCACCTTTGAACATCTTGAGCCTATATTTGAAATTTAATTATGTTGCTTGAAAAATATTATGCATTGATAGGATCGCACTTAATCTGCTGTCCCGTCTGCAAGGCAGATTGGCGGACCTACCTAATTTGTTGCATTTGATCCTTCCCTTGATAATTGTTATATCATATCCCCTTGTAACCTTCTAGTTGCGTCTCGATATTCGTGCACCCTGTGCGAGTATCGACGGACGTCTTCAAACTTAAAATCTGAAAAACTTCTTGGGTAAAACTTGGGTTTTACAAAAGACTTGGAAAACCCGACACCTGGGTCGGTGCTTGTGAACTAAATGAAGTTCCAAAACCGCGGACCGGGGAACGTACCGGGTGTACGGTTTCCCGCTCTTGCACTTAAGGACCGTTTCCTTGGAATTTCATCCAAACATAAGACAAGTACGACCACATGGGTGGAATGGGACACCCCTGGCTGAGTAACTAGCTTATCAGGGGAGCCTTGATGCCGAGAGACATGTGGATTCGCCGGGGTGGTGTCGGGGAGGACCCCTGGGCTTCCTGGCACAGTATGGTCTGGGACCTAACCTGTTGTTGGTCTGGGACCCCTCTCGTCGGCATATGGTAAACCTGTGTCGGCTTTGGAAATGCCTTGTCATGAAAGCTTGGAGGTCTCCCGACGTGGCTGATCCCCACGGGCTGGGTGATCCGGGTTAGTAATGTCGTGTGGGTAAAGTGTACCCCCTCTGCAGAGGTTAACAAACTGTTCGAACAGCCGTGCCCACGGTCATGGGCGGATGTGAGGTGATTCCTAGTGTAGTTTTGTTTGACTACTGCTTGTGAAATTGCTGTTGTGGAAAGGGGTTCGATGTTTGAAAAATCTGCAGCTGATGGGATCAGCTAGGCCCGGGTGGCCGTTTGAAAGTTGTTGGCTCCGGTGGCCGTTTGAAAAGCTGTTGGCCGGGTGCCAACCTTGTTTCGATTCTAAAGACTGATACATTGCACATACTCCGACCGGACGAGACGCACTGTCTCATCCGCGTCGTTTGAGAAGCACTCACTTAGTTGTTTTCAGAAAAGAGTTCAAATAAAATCAATTGCAAAAACAACAGCCCTTCCTTGAAGCCTGCATTAAACACTTATTTCTCTTGGCTTGCTGAGTACTCCCGTACTCACCCTTGCTCTATATAAATAATCCCCTCCCAGTTGCTGAAGAAGATGAAGCGGATCCTGCTGATGAGGAGTTCTTCCAGGAGCAAGCCGGCTACGATGAGTTTTAGGGTTTCGGCCTAGTTCCTAAGTCGCGCCTGTGTTGTTTGGTCCTAGTCCTGGCTTCCGTTTCCCTTTTGTAATGCAGTTGTGAGCTCGGGATCTGTCCGCAGCCCAACATGACTGTACCTCTACTCTATAATAAAGAGACCTCTGTTGCTGTGATAATCTGTCTTCCTGTGATACCAGCACTGTGTCCTAGGACTGGTATCGATTAACAGGTTAATTTGGAGCGTCACGGGCTAGTTCCGGTCAGTACTAGTTCGGGGCGTGACAAATAACCTCATTTTCTTTGTACTCCCATCTCACACTATCCTCTTCAGAGACGACCAGACCAGAAAAATCCTCACTAGCCCATTCTGCTGGATTAATATCCGTCTCATCATCTGACGAATCACCTTCCTCTACACGCTCGTTGTCAGAATCCTCCCTCTCCATTTCATCCACAATGGCACCGACAGTCTCCCCCTCGTCGGCCACTCCACCTAGTTGAATGCCCACTGGAGCTACTACGCCCCCGTCCTCTTGTGCGTTGACATCTTTCACAGAAGTCTCATTTACTTCAGCAATTGGTCCCTCGCCATCATCCATGTTCATCTGCACACCTGGATCCTTCTGGTGAACAAACGGAACCATAGCTAGAGGCCACCCGCGTTGCAATGCATTTTCCACATACAATCTCCACACTCGAGAGTTTTGAACTGGCATTAGTTCCCAATAAAAACCCTCAGTTGCCCGACTTACTATAACATTGATTGTTATGTCACTTATCTGTGGATCAACTCTCAAGCCCCTCATTAACCATCCTTTTATAGAAGGTACACTCCTCTCAGCCGGTCTATCAATTCCCCATTCTGATACAATAAATTCTGATAGATCTACCCCAGTTGGCCCGTAACGAACGTTTCCTGGGCCATGGGGTAAACTTGGAATATTTGTTTGTTCGACATATCTGTCAACGAAATAACTAGATCATATTACTCTTTCATGCAATAAAAATCTACAACATAATATCTTCTTGTGTATGCCAATGCAACGGTAAAGTACTGATTCCAAACTAGCAGATCTATATAGTTACCGATATCTACAATACGCACTTCTAGATTAGTATAACTAAAACCCTAAAAATATAATGCATTTATTCGAACAAAGTTTTTAAAAAATACACAGTATTTAACTCAATAGTCACATATAGGATCTATGAATATTACCTGAAATCGGCGTCTGAATCTGGCAGGGCTTCGCCCCTTCTCTTTTCCTCCCCTTTCTTCTTTTTTTTACTGGATTTGTGGGGGAGGAATGAGGGCTGGGGGCTGGGCGGCAGGCCTTTTATAGGCCGTGAGGCCTGCCGCCCGGCCAGAGGGCAGCAAGGGGCCGCCTGCAAAATGGCCGGTCTCGGCTGGCTTTTTTTGCATTGGGGCCCCTTGCCGCCCCAACAGAGGGTGGCAAGGGTTTTTCTGCAAAAAAACCTCCCTCCGTCACCGCCCGTCCCTCCCCCGTTTGCCACGTCAGCTTGCCGCCCCGGAGGTGGGCGGCAGGGTCTATTTTTGTAATTATTTTGGCCAATAGATTATTTCTATAAATATTTAAAAAAAATCTAAAAATAAAAAAAATTCTAGGCACGGCCATGCTCGGACCAAAATTTATCGGGCTGGCACGGCCCGACCAGCACACCGGGCCGTGCCATGCTGGCCCACGTGCTGAAGCATGAGAGCATCGTGCTTTTTCATAAAACCGTCTAATTTTCATCCCTGATTTCTTTAGGCCATGTCTGAATTATTGTAATAAGGGCTTGTTCACTTTGATGCTAAAAAAAACCTTACCAAATTTTGGCATATTTGTCAAAATTTTGGCAGAATTTCTTATATAGTTACTAAAATTTGACAGCAAACTAAATGTAGCCACTTTTTTAGCAACTTTACCAAAATTTGGTAATGTTGAAAATGGCATTAAAGTGAACAGGCCCTAAGTCTATTTTGTATCCCTTCTCTTGGGCCGTGAATTATATGCCTTCATTAAGTCTAATCTTAGTCCCTAAACTACTTTTCTTCCCTCATCATTGGATCAGGACGTGCCCAGCTGTCAGGTCGGGCCGGGCCAGGCACTATCCCAATCGGACCGTACCGTGCCTGGGCCGGGCCATCGGGCCTTATTGCCATTATAGGCGTGGTAATTCGATAGGGGCACCTTGGAAAATTTTACGTTTTTCTTGTGCACAGCTTGTCGAATGAAGACGGCCGGGCGGCGAGCCACAAACCCGCTCCCCTCCCTCCCATGGCCATGACGCTCTACACCAGACCATGATGCTCTGTCGGCGTTCCCTCATCGCAACACTCCGGCGGCTGGCTTGCTGCGGCGTGGCGGCCGTCGTCGACGACAAGTTCCATGGCAAGAAAGAGTTCGGGCTACCACTGGCTGGGAAACTTCAAGGAGTTCTTGTCACCGGCCTAGAGGATGACGACAGCCGAATTGTGGCAGTGACGGTCTTGTTTTCCGGCGACGGCGAGGATCGATAGCCTCAGGTTCTTCGGGGGTCCATCGCGACGATGATACCACGGCGCCAACGGTTTCGCTGTTGTCAGTGCGGCTGACGCACATGAAGCTGGCAGAAATGTCAGCTCAAACTCAGTTCTCAGTTTCAGAGTGCATCTGAAAGTAGAAGAGAGCTTGCAGAGCTGCATAACATATGATGTAAATTAAGATGAGAACGCTCACAAGTCTCAAGACTACAGTACTATGTTAAGCTTGCTGTACTACAATAGATTGGCAGTTGAACATTAGTGAATTAAGGAACATGATTGAACTGAATAGCAAAAAAGCGAATCCGTCTGAATACATTTCACTTGAATCAAATATTCGTATTACAATTAGGAGCTAGATGAAAATTTAAAACCAATAACAGCTCCTGATATACAAACCTATACTTCTCACAAGACTTACTAAGATTCATAATGTGGACAAATCTATCTATCTATATGTAAATTAACACCTCAGTGCGGGGGACCTAGATCGAATTACATATAATTGAAGGGCTTTTCGTAAAATTTCCACCATGGTTGCTATCCGACGTGGACAACGCGAGAGGTGGCTTGAGGCGCCGGCCTTGAAGAGGTTAATTCCCAACATTTGGAACTATTTAACTGGGAAAAAAATAAAATCAAGACTTTCAATATCAAACTGACCCTTCTGAGAGAGAGCGGGATCGCTTCCCTGTAGATAACGTATTCGGTTGTTCAATCATTGCGTAACGCGTTCGGTATTTATAGTATGGAGGAATGCTAGATTGCCATTCCAGGGCATCAATGTTCTCATCAAGCTGGCCCTTTTTGGCTATAAAAGCATTGCTTGTGGGATGATCATTGAGCCGAGAGGAACTTGCTTCATTGTATGTCACTGGTACAAACCGATTTAATTTACTAAACCAAACTATAGTCCGCCCACTTTTAGCTGCAAACATGTCCCTTGGATGTTCACCTAGTAGACGGAAATGCCAGTTTGTGATAATTTTCATGCGTTTGAGAACCTTGTACCAGAATTGAACACTAAAATTAGATCTGAGTATGCCACCAATAATGTTTGCATGTAGGAATGCTCCATTGGCCTGGGCCGCGATCTCCATACATATGGATGTTAGCTTCGGCTCCTCTTCAGGATTAGTGCTGCCAAATGCAATTGTTTTCAAGAAATACCAAAAAGCTTCTTTTGGGAGCATATCTAACTGAAGTGTTTCGGTTGTTCCAAAAGTTGCTATCTTATTTGATTGACTTGTTATTATGATTTTACTCACAGGCGCCGCTATGTTGTCTCCTCTCAGACTAGACAATATTCTTCTCCATGTTTCATCATCCATGTCATCAACAAGTTCAATTACTACTAGTGATTGTTTAGTTGAGGCAGGATTTTGATGTTTGATGACACCGGTATCTGCAACTGCACCCTCAGTACTACCGGTGTAATAGAAAACAATCGTGGAGAAGTATTTACGCACCCTTTCATCATGGCAGACATTCTCAACAAGAGTGCTCTTGCCAACTCTTGCAGGACCAATTATCGGAAGCACTGCAACACCTTCCGCGCCAGCACGATGTGGTTCTAGCAAGAAGCTGATGATCCTCTCTTGTTCTGCTTGACGGCCAAACATGCAGTTCTCCAACAACAGGTAGCTGCAATAAGGCTGTCGAACCATACGAGGGTAGCTTCTGAGTGACATAACAAACTCCTCTGAAATGATGCTTTCAAGGCGACCAAGCATCTTTAGAAGCTCTTTTTTCTCCTGGTCTTCAGACACTATTTTCCTTGCCATCGTAGAGAAACGGAACCGCTTCAATGGATTGAAAGGAAACGAGGCCAAAGAGTGATCATCCACCTCATCCGGAGCGTGCCCTAGAGCGATCCGATACCTGAGAATAATTAGGGAAAAAACGATGATAGATTGACAAATAGTATAAACACTGGTGTTAGTTATGCAATTTCCCCTACCTGAAATTATCAAGAAAGTAGTAGCCTCTGTACATCACATTTCTCATCGTCTTTAGCTGCAGAAGCATCGCTTGGTTTGTGATTCTCCTCCCGTTGGCCTCCTCATCGACGGTTTGGATCCGCAGCAGCATGCGTTGTAACTGCTGTAGATTCTCCTCCACACCCTGCTGCTGCTGGCAGTATCTGTCGATCACGAAGGATATGGATCTGCTGAGAAGATCAGCGAGAACCGCAGAAAGGAACGTCTCCATGCTGAGATTTTGTGGATTGGAAGTTTGGACAAGGGAAAGCAATCGGCAGGCAGCAACTTAAACATAAGACTGGCCACAGGTTGTCGTCATCAACTCGTGGTGTTGCTGACTTGCTGTTCAATTGCTATGCATAGCCGGCGTCTAGGTGCAATACACAGCGGGTCGCCGACGGCTTGTGCTTGTAAGCTTTGGTTTCTGTTGTGGACTGATCATTTAGTCAAGTTAATAGGCGACAAAATGAAAGGCTGGTGAGAGGCAGCGATTTTGAGAGCACGTGGCAGCCTTAGAATTAGCCGGCGTCAGCTCATTTCTAACTCTTTCTCTAGCCATAACTTCTTCAAATCTGACCAAATTTATAGAAAAACATAACAATATTAATAACACAAAACAAATATACTATTAAAGTATATTCGATATTTGATTTAATGAAACTAATTTAGTGTTGCACTAATTCTTTTTATAAATTGGGTAAACTTCAAGAAATTTGACTAGATTAAAGTTAAAATATCTTATAATATGAAACCGGTCAGAGAGTAATTAATTAAACTAGGTGACAGATTACGGTCCAAATCATGCAACTGTTCATGTTTTATTCGTTGAGAAAATACTCTTTTGTTCCATCTTTTGCTTGACTATTGATGCTCAACTTGCCCAAGCTGATGGCCTCATGCCTATCCATGTCGGCGTAAGCCTTTGTTGCCTCGCTGAGTTGCAGCCGCTCGGCCCGCGCCCGTGTACGGTGTTCGCGGGCTCGAGGCCTATGTTGGGCACTTGGGCCTTAGCCCAGTCCCTGTGAAGCACGACAGCACGATACACTGATGCACCTCTCGCTGTGTTACTTGTGTACGTACACAGGAGGCCTCAGCTGCAATGTATATGTACTAGTAATCAAAACAACTTCATCCTAGCTAAAAGGTGCTAAGCTGTTTTTGATACTATTCTTTTTTATACAGTGCACTGCTTTAAGTGAGCTATGATATTTCAATGCGCCCCTTAACATCTACAGTCCGAAAAGAAGAAACATATCTTACACACGCAAGTTTCCCGTGCACATCAACTATCAAATATCACGAAAAATTCTAGAAAAAATCTAACATGTACTCTTAATAGTATTACACATATTTACAAAGTCTTATATTCAAATTCATTATATTTTAAATGTAACAAAAAAGCGAAAAATATGACAATTTTAAGAGTAAAAATTTGTCATAATTTTATCTTTTTTGTTACGACTAGTTTATAATGAATTTGAATATGAGATTTCATAGATAGGTGCAACGTTATTGAAAGTATGTGTCCAATCTTTTCTATAATTTCCTATGACATTTACTAATTGGTGTGCACGGAAAGTTTGTATACATAGGATATGTTCCCTGTAAAAGATGTTAGTGGTGATGGTGAGTCTATCACTCCCACCAACCAACCACTATCATGTACTCTCTCCATGCTAATGTAAATATAACATTGATTCATAGTTCTAAGATATATCACATATGTAATATGTTACACTTATATTTGATCAAAGGAAGTAGGACCACAAATAGTGAGTAGGCGGACTTTTATCCATTCCCCAAGCCACCCAAAGTAAACAACATGAAAAATATTGCTATATTTATTAGTCTGCTTTATTTCTCATGGTCACTGACTTGCTATCTATAGAACAATGTGTTTTGTATTTTTACATCAATCTTACTAATATACATCAGAAAATTTACTTTCCTAGTGATCTAAAAATTATTATAATGTCATTATTTCAGATGCAGTTTAAACATTCTTGTTGTATTGAACTAGTTTTTAGAAAAAAAAAACAAGATGACATAAACGCAAACCATATTGTCTCTAATGCAAGGAATTTTCTCTTCATGACATTGAGGTGTACTGTATCCAACAAACATTCTTTAAAAAAAAATCAAGGCTGCGTTTGAGACAACCAGAGGAGAAGAAAAATCTCGCGTTTTCTAGACGCTTTCCTAATTACTAAACAGTGTTCTTTTGTAAATTTCTATAGAAAAGTTATTTAAAAAACCATATCAATTCATTCTACAAGTTTAAAATAATTAATACTTAATTAATCATGCACTAATAGTTCATCTTGTTTTACATATCTTTTTAATCTTCTTCTTTCCATTCCTCCCAAACTAACACACCCTAAGCCTACAAAAGGAGAAAAGAATCCAGTGGAGTATTTCAATTAGGTCGTGGCAGCGATAATTGTTCCAAGGAAATGCTTCAAATCAGTGACCATATACAACAGACGCAAGCAGTGGGCAAGTATAAAAAGCTTTGGGAAATGGAAACGGAAGCGTGTCCACAGAACACCACTGGCTAATAGCTTGGGTAGGTACAGGGGGAGGAACACCACTGGCTGCCCCCTGGGGACACGGGGAGAATGATGAGCACGGAGCATGCCTTGTCTCATGAGCACCGGAGACTGGAGCAAAAGTTGACCGGGACATGCAATGTCTTCTGCCCTTACGGCAGGACGACCATCGTGTGTAGGGGCGCAGGTTTATTATAACTACTATGCCATCCCAGTATGCACTACTATGGCACACCTCTGTTTTCTAAAAGAACATCTATGAACAATCATTGTGCATTTGTACCAAACATACGTCTAGTGACTAGTGAGTAGTGAGTTTACACGTAGCTCTCTATTGGAATGAAGGAATTCTGAAGTATTCTCCGCAGGGTTGAAATTTGAAAGGTCATTTAGCTTTTGTTTTTTTCTAAAAAAAAACAAGAAATACCATTAGCATATATTTCATTAAGTATTAACTATTACAACTTAAAAAATTAGTTTATTTTATTTTAAAGGAACTTTATATAAAAAGATTTTTTTCACAAAATGTATCGTTTAGCAATTTGAAAATTATATTCACGATAAATGAGAGAGTTACAAATGCGAAACGAGGAAAATAATGCACCCTAAGTCCTGTGAAAATCCTATAAAATCCCTGCATTTGGTGGATTTGATTTCTCTTGTAAAAACGTTTTAGTAGAGTAAATAACAAAAATTCCATGCTTTCAAATAGAGCATCAATATGCTTCAAAGCACATTGGTTGGATACGGGCAGTTTGTTATCTTGTTATACTTTAGTGAATGCATTTTTGAGACACAATAATTCTTATCTAGATCTTGGATGGAGCAAGGCTGACCGTTCGGTTGAAGTCTCGCGAGGATCCAACTATTCATACCTTTTGTGTTACTCAATCATTTCCAGTCAATCAAAACGCCTTGTCACCTTTTTCTTCTCGCATGAAGGGCATCATGAAAATATTTTTAATTAGTATTTGAAGGACTAGATGGCCAGGCATCGTATGAAAAATGAGAGAACCGAACCTTGTTTGAAGGTGATGGCCATATCATCTCAGTGGCATAGCCACATGCTAGCTTAATTAATCAAAATCATTAAGAATAGACTTCATATGTTCTTTCAATCTATCGCTAGATATGACGGGAATAACTGAATCTTGACCAAGAGGTGTCCTAAAACGTTGTAGTACTTGAATTAGCAGTGGCATACTTGATAGATATGAACGTTATTGTGATGTTAAAACTCTTTTTGATCAAGATAGAGCTCACACTATAGTTTGACATGCTAGCAACGAGAAGCTAGTGCCGACTTAAACCGAATTCAAAATGTTGCACCCAAATAAACTTCAATAAGCTTCAAACAGGACCACTCTCAAATGTCATGCTGGAATCTCATCTGTGTAAATGGGCATGATCTAGGGGACTGATCTGACTTAATCTGTTCAAATTTCAACGCATGACGGGTTCTCTTTTAAAATAATGTGCTATACAGGGCTAGTTAAATGGGACAAAAATTAACCAAACGAAATATGCGTAGTACATGTACAACCTCAACTTCCCAAGTGGTGGTGTGCACTTGAGTGCAACCAACTGGGGCCAAGTCTTTTGTTGTAGTGGAATATATATATCTCTCCATTGTGTGTCACCACTATACAACAAGCAGCAACACGCTACAACCATCCAAGCAGCAGGAGAAAAGATACAAACATAGATCAGAACCTGAAGAGAAGACACCAAGAAGCAATGGAAATCAAGGACGAGGAGACAACGGCAGAGGTGGCCATGGTGGTGCAGTCGCGGTTCAGAAGGGTATGCGTGTTCTGTGGGAGCAGCCATGGCAAGAAGAAGATCTACCAGGATGCTGCCATTGAACTTGGGAAGGAGCTGGTAAATTCTTTCATTTGCTTTTTTTTCATAAGGATTTGCATTTTTTGTTATGTTATTCATTTAAGTAATTAAAATCTGAAGTGTTTGATCCTTGAGACAACCTTTTCTTATATGGATTCATGGGAAATTATATTTGTTTGGTCATCTAACTCAAGAGACTTCACAGTGTACACCTTGTTTTATCTTGCATGGATGCATGCAGATTATGTTATTGTACTCAAATGTTCAGCCATTTCTCATCAGTGCATAATACACAGAAAAACAAAGTATTAGTGCAGGAACTGTATTGGTTGGAAAGTTTGTCATGTACAAAAAAGGCAATGTCCAATCCTTAAAAGACTTTCTAGTTTTCTTGTCTTTGAATAGTCTAATGTTATCCTTTCAGGTGGCAAGAAACATTGACCTAGTATATGGAGGAGGGAGTGTAGGGTTGATGGGTTTGGTTTCTCAAGCAGTACACAATGGAGGAAGGCATGTCATTGGGTATGTAACACGATAATCATTCCTTAGCACACTTCCATTAGCAAGAGTTGAAAAGTAATACATGAAACTGAAGAACTATCTTAGAAACTGATGAAATAGCTTCATGTCAAAAGTGATGAATTTGTGTCTTCCTCATCATGTTCTAAAACGTTTGTTTTGTCATGTCCCTATGCAGGGTCATTCCCAAGACTCTCATGCCTAGAGAGGTACCATGTTCTTTCTACTCTCCAATAGCCCTCTCTCAGTGTTCGCCATGCCATGGTTCCCTTGAATATACCATTACTATTTCCATCTAACTAGTCAAATGTAAAGTGATATAGTTACAAAGGAACTAGGAATGCCACTAGGAGGATATATCACTAGTCAAATTTTCACCTATATATGACCAGTTTTTTTTAACTAAAATTATATTTGTTCGAATATATCCTAATGCTAATCTTTAAGTGCATGGTCATCTCATCATGTTTATCTCCAGATATAGTATACTATTACTGCACTTAAGCATTGTAACGATAGAAATATGATAATGTTTGTAGATCTTGTTCCTTTGTCTTTTTTGCTAGCGGGAAAGAAGAAAGAGAACTTATGATGAAGGATCAGGAGAAATGCTCACTGAAATCTTGTTCCCCCATGATAGATGATATCTCACTGATCTTGACTGCAATCTCTCAAGCAGGGATGCTGGCTAGATTTAACAAAGAAAAAGCCCATCACATTTTCTCTTGTCCCCCATACCTGCACCATGATTGCCTCTCCTGAACTTGCGCCTCTGAATAAAAAAATACTGCTGTGAAACAGTCAAGTCATCTTACCTTTATTTCTCCATCTGAAGAAAGTTGGTCCTCTTTTGGTTAAGCAAAAAGCTGGCTCCTCTGCTAATATATAATGTGTGTTTCTTGCGCGTGTGATGGTGTATGTACATGCAGATATCAGGTGAGACAGTGGGGGAGGTGAAAGCAGTGTCCGATATGCACCAGAGGAAGGCTGAGATGGCCAGGCAGTCTGATGCCTTTATAGCATTGCCTGGTGAGTATATGTCACCTGAGTAAGTAAAGCAACCAATCAGTGAAGAGTAGTAGTTATAATGGTAAATTTGGTCATCACTTTCTCTAATCTGTTATGATTCACTGGTAGTGCATTCTGACTGGAAAGTTTAAAGTTCAGGTTGCATGGTTTGACTCTCACTAGGCTATGTGGCCCTGTGTCCTGTGAGACATTTGCTGTGCAGTCTGCACTATGTCTGCGAGAGAAAAATTAGACAATGATTTTTCTTTTTTAGCAAAACGACCGCATGCATTATCTTGTAATAGGAAATTCAGAGCCTGAAAAATCTTAAAATTATGGGTTCAGTTCAAAATTTATAAGAAATCAGGACTTGAGAAGGCCTTATCCTGCTGGGCTTCAACTTGCAGGGGGGTATGGAACACTTGAAGAGCTACTAGAAGTAATTGCATGGGCTCAACTTGGAATTCATGACAAACCGGTACCCAACTGTCCAATATGATAAAATTCGTCCTAAATTTGAACTATAATGTGTTAAAACTGACATCAGACTTGTCGTTGAAACGTTGCAGGTTGGGCTGCTCAATGTGGATGGCTACTACAATCCGTTGCTGTCTTTCATCGACAAAGCTGTGGAGGAAGGGTTCATCAGACCTAGTGCCCGCCATATCATCGTCTTGGCCCCAACGCCTAAAGAACTCATTGAAAAGCTAGAGGTATCATGTGCCATCCTCACCATTTGTTCAGTTCACTTGTGCCAAAACTGGCAAATAAATCCACATGTAGCAAAATTTCATATATGACTAAATCTTTCTAGAGTAATGGTCCTTAACATGGTTTATTCTGAACTGTATATAAGCTTTGCTTCTAAGCAAAGGTTACTACTCACCAGAGTTGGTCTGCTTAACTTGTTGATCAATCAGCACCAATTTTGTCGTTAAACACCTGGACACTGCGAAAAAAATGTGAGAGTTAGCTGCAAGGCCAAAGTTTTAATTAAGTAAAACTGTCAATGAGGATTATATCACAATTATGCATATGCTCTTGGTCCAGTGTCAAGGTCCTCATTACTGCAAGAGCAATCAAAGTACAAATTCCGTTTCTAGTGTAGCACTAAAACGTTATTGCACTAATAAATGCACATTGTGGACCTGAGACCTATCAACTGAAACAATGGTAGACTAAAATGTCGGCAGAAAAGGACTAAAAGTCTAAAACCAGTATCTGTCTTGCAGGAGTACTCTCCCCAGCACGAGAAAGTCGTGTCAAAGATGAAATGGGAGATGGAACAGATGAGCTACCCTCAGAACTACGATATCCCCAGGCCAAAGGAGGGAAAGATGATCATAGAAGCACAACGGGGAAGCAGGCTATGGATGTAAATCGTAGAACGACAAGAAAGCAGGCAAGTGGTAATATATGACTTGTCCAAAAAAAAAAAGTTACTAATATGAGATCAGTACTTCAGTAGTGTAGATTGCTTGTTGGTGTGATCAGAATTCCTAGAATGTGTATGTACGTGCCAGGAGTATGTATGTCTCATTTATCTTCTTTTCCTCTTTCTTTTGGTTTCTGTAACTTGGGGAGAAGGTGCTTACTACTGAACCTTTTGCTTCATCCTTCACATAATCACATAGAACTACTATATGCTATCTGTATACTTATTCTACAGCTAAACTAGTGATAATTAGCAATCTATGCACAAGCATAATCATCTCTGTTGATTCTAATATAGAAGTGATCCAAAGAGAATGGAATCTGAACCAGTTCCAGACTTCCAGTCTGAAGAAACAGTGAACAGTGAGATTTCAGCAAGGGAGAATGCCAGTTTGGGCCTCCACAACCACAAGGATCAAGGGACCTCCTCGCTGTAGAACCACCATGGGCTCCCTTCCTCCTTTGCGGAGACAATCTCCGCCTGCGGCCACCCAAACATTCCGCCTCAATCCGCCGCCGGCGAGTAGACGTCAGTACGGATCGAAGGCCCCGCCGCCGCGGGGGCGGAACAACCACGGCCACCGGCGTATTGAGTTGCCTACCTGGATGCAGGCGCTGACGGCGCTGATCCTCAAGCCACCAGTCGCCGGAGTCCGCCGCCACCCACGAGCCCTCCGAGTCCGCGTCTCCAACCCCAATTCCCCCATCCGCATCGGGAAGCCAATCTAGGCCGTTCAAACTTGATCTAACCATCGACGACGCTTCATCGTCGATCTGGACCATGGAAATCTGATCCGACGGTTCCCGAAACCTAGGCGGCGGCCGTGCTCATCGACGGTAGGCAACACGTAGCGCCCTAGCGCGTAGAGCCAAGCCGTCGATGTTAGGCTAAACCTACTCCTTTCAACTTCTCGAGTCGCTGTCGGGAGAGAGGCCTCGGAGACTCGTCGTCCGTCGAGGGAGAAAGTGCTTCTTCGTCCACATCTCCACGGTGTATTCGTTTCTCGACGCCTCTCGCGGTGATCTCGACAGTGTAGGTGAAACGAGCTACTCGGTGATCAGTAGCAATTAGGAGCACTGGTAAATTTCTTCGGATTTAGGAATACTAGTTAGCCACGTATCACAGGCCGCTGCAGTGCCTGACTGCCTGAACATGTTGAACGACAGGTCGACAACACGGATCAGGCCCGGCTTGAGGGGGTCGAGCTGTGCCACCGTACTAAGCCCTCGAAGTCAAGGGATCCAACCTCATATATCTATGCTATGGATATAGAAGCCTATAGGCTGATTTAGGAAGCCTAGAAAAAGAAAGATATACAACTTATTTGATAAAAATATTTTTTTATGTATTATACATTTGTTAGAAACATTATTATATTATCAGAGTTGTATTAAAGAGTCCATCTTTCTAGCTTCGCTCCGGACCATTAAATTGGTTGGACCGGACCACGGTGCCCGGCTGGACCTAATTTGTTGAGAAGGGACATCTCTGCATCTGCGTCTGCATCAACTGGTGATCAACATCGGGTAAGTTGAGCATGCATCAGTTTTATTAATTCATATGCATTGGTTAAACACGTTGTGCATAGTACACAGGGAAAAAATAGTGCCCCTAATTATTTTGATTAATGAACTGGTATTTTAAATGTGCCAATTTCATTGAATAAAATAGGAGAATATTTACTAGTCCTATATAGAAAAACAAGAAGTCTATGCTAGATATAAAGCATTTTTGCTCCTGACTAGGGTTTGCAATTTCGTTTCGAAATTTCTAAAATTTTGGTAATTTCGTCCCCCACCAGCAAGCTCACATCTCACCCAAAATTTTTGGTTTTTTGCAAATTTTTGTGAATTTGATCAAATTTTATTCAAATTCATTCAAAATCAATCAAAATTTCAAATAATTTTGGACAAAAAATCCGAAATTTCAGTAATTTCGCTCCTCCCGGAAAAAAACAATTTCAAAATTGAAAATCCTGCTCCTGATAGGACCCATATCTTATCCTCCTCACTGATAGTTCTTTGTGCCTTAAAACTCTCTAACTCTCTGGATCCGTTTCTTCTAAGTTTCCTATGAAATTAGTAATGTAAGGTGCGCAATCCCTTTTTTATATACTCAGGCTTACAGCTAGTCCTATCCATCATTCGTGGACCGTTGTGGCCGAGCTACAACTTATCGGTTATATTTGCTCCTTGGAGATTCATGTTGACAGCATTCCCTAAACTCTCTTCATGTGTACTACATTCCGCCAAGAGGTGTAGGGTCATCTCCAAGGTATGTCAGTTTAGCGGGTAGTAGGCGTTGTTCGGCCATCCGTGCAGTCAAACGTCTGTGCTATCTGTTTTGGATCACTAGCCCTAAAAAACTTGCACTTTCTTGAGGCCCAAAAATTTATGTTTAATACAAGCCGTATTATGTTTGAGAAAATTCCCATCTTCATATTTTTGTTGGTAATAGCAGCCACCACAAATATCCTTAGCTCATAACAACAATGTGAGAATGTGCATTCCAGGCACTGAACATTTCATTTTTCTACTTGAATTCCTAAAGAAAACCAAATCACTACATCAGGTTGCAATGCTTTCCCTAGATTTAAATTAAACAAAGCGTCGCCACCGTTGGCAGCTGGTAAGGTTCGTCAGTCATATGGAACATAGTTAGAGAGTCCGTTGGATTGATCAATAATTTTCTTAATGCAGATAGAGGATCATCGGTCGTACGTGGTGTGGATCGAGCAAAGTATAATGGCAATGGAGACCCCTTGCGGCAAATTGTAAAATATGCATGCTAAAAGGTGGGTCTATTATTGGTATACTGTGTAATTTTGGTTAATATACTATCACAAAGTGAAATTTACTTGTCATTTAATGGTATTTTGTAAACAGAAGATCTTACTACAATAGTAGCACCAGGGCCTCAAATTCTTAGACATGGTTTTCCAGGCTGCAGCTAAACTTGTGTCGGTGTGTGAGCACCAATGTAGTACTACATATCCTATTACGGCCTGACCTAATGCAGCATTAACATGCAATCATCTTAAGCTTAAAGTATCCACCATTGTTTCTAGCCCTTCTAGTCATACTATTTTTGAGACTTTCTCCACAGGCACTGCAACAGAATGGTGCCTCATGTTAGTCAAGTGGACGGGATCACCCTGCAGGTGCTCTAATATTAATTCGTTAGGCTCAACTCGTGATTTTGAAGCTTGATTTGATTCACATTTGACTACCTAGGCCTTCATGTGGGGTCAAAATTCAGAGGTACAAAACAGATGAGTGTGAAGTCTCACCCAACGGCTAAAATAATAGAGCTGGTTGCTCTAAGGCTAGATGTGCTGTTGGGCCATAACCTTTGCTTGCATTGACAGGAAGCAGATGCTTTACTACTACAACCACCTGCCTCCTTCCAACCTTGTGTTCCAAGTGACAAAAGAAAATTTTGCCCATGACAATTATTGGATTAATGAAAGTTTGGCGGTTCCTTGCTTTTATTAATTTAATCTAATTAGTGGATGCACCTTCGTCAGATTGAGGCGTCAACTTTAGAGATGCCACATTGATCTACTGCTGTAGTTTAAGTGATGCATTTGTTGTATGCATGCTTTGAGTAGCGCCTGTGTCTTGATGCTACTTCTGCTAAAATTTGCACTTGTCCTTTTTTTTTTCCCAAAAGACCAAAATTTGCACTTGTCACCCAGTCAAAAGAATAACAGATCTCAGCAAATGACATAAATGTGTAGATATGCCACTGTGTGTATGTCTTCTTCTGATTTCTTCGTTGCAACAACTTTAGACTTTCGAGTATTGGATAACTGTAAAGCATGCCCACTGATTTCTGCTGTTGTAGCAATAATGATAGAAATAACATGACACCTCAGCTGCGATGATTTCCATCCTACCTACTAGCAAAAGGGAGTACAAAAGAACATTCATATTCAGAGAGAATATGAACTTTCTCAGCGTATGATGCTATCCCTAGTATGTCAACTAACGAAAGCATTAACTATCTATTGTTCTTGCCACCACATGATTAAACATATGCAACCCCTAATTAGTGTAACAGAAGTTCTTGTCCTGTCAATGAAGATCATGGGTCCTCTTTACACATATTATTTACAAAATTACTAAAAACAGTACTGTGGTCTCGATGCTTTATGAAAGTAAGAAATTCAGATGTGACTGGTGAAGGTCAAATGTGACTGCTTTACGAAAAACAACTAATTGTTGCAATGCTAAAATAGCTTCACAGCCACGAATTGAGCGTAGTGGTTAGGTTTTTTATGGTATAACCTGTACACACCCGATTTAAAGTTCTAGACTTAATATAGGTGTTTGCATTTACGACTAATTATTCTTTTAATGGTAAACGACGTACTTGTCAACAGTGAGATGCTAACCCAATCTTGAAGGTACTCATAAGGATAGAGTGTACATGTGTGTATTCGTATGGGTGAATACACCATGTATATAAATGAGCGCGTGCATATGGGGAACATATCCTATGCACACAGCCTTCCCGTGCACACTCTGTGCACACCAACTAGCAAATATCAGAGAAAATTCTGCAAAAAAATAGATACATAATTCCAATAGTATTACACCTATGTGTGAAATTTTATCTTCAAATTTATTATATTTTAGCCGTAACAAAAAGATAAAATTCTGACTGATTTTTAGCCTTAAAACTATCAGATTTTTCACCTTTTTTTTACGGCTAAAATATAATGAATTTGAATATGAGACTTTGTAGATATGTGTAATACTATTAGAAGTAAATGTCTAATTTTTTATAGAATTTTTTGTGATATTTTCTAGTTGGTGTTTATATAGTGTGCACAGGAAACTTGTGTGCATAGGATATATCCCCGTGCATCTGTGCCGTATTTAGCCAATGATCCAAAGGTTCTAAAGCAAAGGGCGCTTCACAGACTTCCAACCCTTATTCCCTTGAGCTTTTCCTAGTGAAATGCATGTGAATTACGAAAACAATGTACGTACTCTTTCAATAAGAGTAGGAATAAGTATATTTTACCCTCTTGAGCTTTACAAAAGTTGGGCTTTAACCCACAAACTTATAAAATCAAATTGTTTTACACTTAGGTGATTCTTAATGATATGAATCCACATCAGAGCTTTTGCCTTATTGACAGTCATATCATTGAACTTCTGTGAAGGAGATTCAGCATCAAGGGTCATCACTTGACATCAACAATGTCGGTCTTTTTCTTATGACGTATTACCAGTTCACCAGTACCTCTAGTTTTTTTTTCTCTCACTACCTCTTGTCGTTGTGTAATGAGGTATATATTTTTTTTTCGAAATGACTATTGAGGTATAAAATGTTTCAGATTCAGGTGTACAACAAGTATATCCTACATGCATATGCCACGAATGACCCTAACCTTAGACAAATTTTCATTTATTTAAATCAACAACCACACTCTCTCTCTCTCTCTCTCTCTCTCTCTCTCTCTCTCTCTCTCTTTCTCTCTCTCTCTCTGTGTGCAAGGAATAACCAATTCCTTTTTTTGATCTATCCCTCCCCTAAAAAAAAAACTTTGACCTACACTATCCAATTACAATGCATACAGTACAGTTTGTTGTATATATGTATGAGTATGACCCACTCTTGGTCACCTTGGACGATTGTCGCTGCATATGGAGCGAAATACCACGTCCTTTTGGACGGTGGCAAAATGGTCCAGCCGAGCTTTGAGCCGGCATCCACATTTTGGCACTATTGGCCTACAAGTAACCAGAAACTAGGATCTCCAAACTAGGCCACAACCCACAACTTGACCTTGACGCCTTGTTATGTGTAGTCTTATTAATATACTAGCAGTACTATGTACATGATACAATACTTTGAAAACAAATAATTGCTGTATGCGTCCATCTGCAAGCAATTCAAAACCAGCCGAAATCAACATCCCCCAGCTACAGAAAAACAAAACAACCGGCAACAGTACAACCGATCACGATTGGAGAGGAGTGTTTCAGCCTTGGAAGACCCACCAACGGAGCATATCGTCCTTTTCGTTGTCGGCGGCGGCGTAGGCTCGGTACAGCAGTTGGTGGCTTGGCTAGTCATGGAGGAAGTTGTTGTGCGCACAGGGTTGTTTTTTTTTTTTTTTTTGGGTTGCGTTTGTTGTGGCAGCGGCAGCCAGCATGAAGGCGAACATGGAAACTCCGGCGTCGTCAGAGCAAGGACCAAACTGACTGACCCACACCAAATGCATACGCACACACGCCACCAACACCTTCCCTCTCCCCCTCTCGGCCGGCCCACTGGTGTGGTACCTCGACATAAAAATGCCTCTCCCTCTCCCTCCCTTCTTCATCTTCCTCCGTCCACTCCGGGGCGCCATTGCCTAGAATTGATCAATTGATACTGCAATCAAGGAAGAACACCATAGCTGCAGAGGTACTTATGTAGGTTGCTGTTCAGGAGGAGGAGGAGGAGGAGGCGATCTCTGTACATTTTGAAGGATTTTTGAAGTGAGTATCACTCAATTATGTGGTTTGGGAGTTACATTCTGTCTTGGGTGTCCCTAGCTCTGTTCTTGAATTTCAAGCGTGTTTCTTATGGTTTGGTACATAATTTTATTTCAAGAAAGGTGGATCAAGTCTGAGCATGCTGAATTCCAACTTACAGAGCAAATAGCGAGTGATGTTGAATTGTTTCTTGCCTGTGTTGCATGGTTGGATTGAAATTGAATTGCGGCGTTAGGTTAGGCATCTGTAATAGAATTGCAGCCATGTTAGACAAACTGAGAACTGCTTCTCGTTTCAGGAATTTTACTGTTGATGCTCTCCATTTCTTTTCTTTTCTTATTTTTCCTGTTGAAAGATCATCCTCTGAATTTTCTGCATCTCTGAATCCAACAGGTAGAGCCATGTGGTATGTACCGACTAGTACACACGTCTTGATAACTATGCTTAATTTCTTACCCACCAGATTTTTCTCAACTCATATACAGACCAGTACAGACTCGCTGGACCTAATCTGGCCAAGTCTGACTCTGACCTGGATGGCACTACTGCATTCTCGGCTGCATGCATTGCCCATGTTTTTCAGTTTTGCTACATGCACTTTCTGCCGGCTAAACAAGCAAAACCAGCAGTTGTCCATTTGGACTCACCTTACAGCCAATGTTTTTGAACTAGTTCCACATGCAGCTGTAAGCCAGCAGCTGCAAGAATTGAAGAATATATGAGCTTGGTCAGCTCTCCAGGCATAAGAAAAGAATTTTGCACTGTTCGAACAGAATCTTTTAGACTGGCCAGGATTGTCTTTTTATTTCAGACACTTGGTAGGAGCTAACGTCATCCCGTTTTAGGAGTTAGGCCGATCATCTAGTCATCCTCTGTAAACAAAGAAGAGACTCTTTACGGCAACATAGAATTTAAACTCCTGAGTTTCTCGATGAGAATGCAGGTTCAGTCTTCAGACTAAAAGAGACACAGGTGGCCAAGATGACTGCTGGTTTCCAGCTTGGTGTGATCGGATCACTGACGCTCTCAGTGGCATCATCGGTTTCCATTGTCATCTGCAACAAAGCTCTCATCAGCACTCTCGGATTTCCATTTGGTTCGTGCCTCATCTCTGTTGTTTGTAATCATGGGCAAAACCTGAATGGCATCATTACATAAATCATGAGCATTCAGCTTACTCGCCAAGTATGGTTTATGGACACTGCACCATACTGATACCAGTTCAATAAAAAAAATTAGACATTATTATCACTTATGACTTATGATGTGTCGATTGTTATTGCAGCTACTACATTAACAAGCTGGCATCTCATGGTGACCTTCTGCACCCTTCATGTCGCACAACGTATGCGCTTTTTTGAACCGAAAGCGATCGATGGGCAAACTGTAATCCTATTTGGGTTGCTGAATGGGACATCAATAGGCCTTCTCAACCTCAGTTTAGGATTCAATTCCATTGGATTCTACCAGGTCAGTGCTTTTCTTACTGTCTTTTTTAAGAAATCATTAGTCAGATACTAAAATTTGGTATGCTCTGCAGATGACAAAGTTGGCCATCATACCCTTCACAGTAATGTTGGAGACCATCTTCTTAAAGAAAAGATTCAGGTTACAAAGCATACTATTAAGTATTATCATGTAGCCTAAAATACATGTGCATTCAGATCATGTTAATTTAACCAAAATTATTGTTTTTAGAATGTACGGTTGACTAGAATCACCTACTAAATATCCTGAAAGTGCAACCTTGATGGATTTAACTCCCAACTGAAATTTGTACCAAATGCTATTTTTGTTTTGACAAAATCGTTTGGTAATTGTGCCAAAAAAAAAAGCAGTCAAATATAATAAAGCGAAAAATATGATTAGTTTCATTTACTTTTCTGGAGCTCAATACTCAATAGTCCATGCAGACTTGCGGTATCTTTTTCTTTTCAGGGAACTCAACCATTCCCTTTTGTCTAGAATTATGCTGACACGAATCTAACACACAATGTGCAGTGAGAGTATCAAGTTTTCTCTGCTGATCCTGCTACTTGGAGTTGGCATTGCTTCTGTCACTGACCTCAAGTTAAATCTTCTTGGGTCTGTCCTTTCTGGCCTCGCCATCGCCACAACTTGTGTTGGCCAAATTGTATCCTACAGTTTAAATACAACTGTTAATCATTCAGATTCCATAAGTTGCATCTTTTCTGCTTTACCCATTCATGCTCCATACCGTGCTATTTTAGCTGCCAAACGAATTCTATTGTTGCCAGCGTTTATCCTTAACCCGTTAAACTTGAACGAAGCTCACCAACACAATACAGAAGAGGTTAAAGGTCTCTTCGACGCAGCTTCTGTATCAATCCGCGCCTTACCAAGCGGCGATCCTGTTCGCAACCGGCCCCTTCGTGGATCAGCTCCTCACCAGCCGCAGTGTCTTCGCCCACAAATACACGGCTCCAGTCGTGGTACGCTCTCTCTCAAAGCCAATTTGGCCAAATTTTTTTAAGCAGATACAATGTATTAAACATATACTAATAATAAAATAAATTACAGATTCCGTCTGTAAACTGCGAAACGAATTTATTAAGCCTAATTAATCCGTTATTAGTAAATGTTAATTGTAGCATCACATTGTCAAATTATGGCGCAATTAGACTCAAAAGATTTATCTCGCAATTTACATGCAAACTGTGTAATTATTTTTTTTTCGTCCACATTTAATGCTCCATACATGAGTTCAAATATTTGATGTGATATTTTTGTTCGAAAATTTTGAGATTAAACGCACCCTACCAACATTTAATCCTGCATCCTGTCGTTTCCTGCGAAGTACTGCTAGTAGTACTGTAGTACTGCTTCCAAAAGTGCAGTCCCGATCACGGACGTTTTTTGTTCATATTTGCAGGGTTTCATCGTTCTGTCCTGCCTGATCGCGGTGTCCGTGAACTTCAGCACGTTCCTTGTGATCGGGACGACGTCGCCGGTGACGTACCAGGTGCTGGGCCACCTCAAGACGTGCCTGGTCCTGTCGTTCGGGTACACGCTGCTGCATGACCCCTTCACCATGAGGAACATTCTGGGCATCCTCGTCGCCATATTCGGGATGGCGCTCTACTCCTACTTCTCGGTCCGGGAGAGCAAGAAGAAGTCGGCAGGCGACCCACTTCCCGTGTCGCAGGTTTTCATTCACATCAGAATTAGCTTTCTGAAGAATTGTTACTACTGCCAGTTTGATTGGGGTAATCAGGTTGGTGTGATTGATGCTTCTTTGTAGATGCCGGAGAAGGAGGTGGAGCCGCTCCTGGCGACCAAAGACGTCAACGGTGACACCAAGAAGGCGAACGGCGTGACCCACGACTGTTGAATATATGTGTCTCATTTGTTTTAGCATTTAGCCCAGCATTTAGCTGTGTAGCACCGGCACACGTAAGCCTACCCGTTGTATCTGAAATTCTGAATGGCCGGGGAACCCGTTCCTTTCCATTTGTCGATTTCTTGCGCTTTGTAAGAAGCGGAGTACCTGTCGTCGGAGCCGGTACAGGCAGCAGCCCAAAAAACTCGAGGCCCCCGGCACCACGAGACGTACGAGACTGCTCCGGCCCCTGCTTCTGGATGGATGATACGCAAAGCCCCGTGTAAGAAAAAGTCCATTTGGAGTCCCTCATATTGGCCGAATTTCTATTAAAAAATTCATTGGCCGAACTTAATTTGAATCTCTCATCGCAAAACAGGCTATGTCGCCAATAGCTTATTATTTTTGTTTTGGAAATAAAAATAAATCCCACAGGTAGGTGAAAACAGTACGGAAACGGATGGAAACCACCTTTATCGTTTCCGTTTTCATTTTTTTTCGGAATCGGAAACCCCAGATACGAAAACGGAATTGAATATTATCGAAACCGAAAACGAACTAGCGCGAATACGGTAACGAAAATTTATCGGAATAAAAAACCCCCTCAAACTGACAAATCCTATTCTCAAGTCTCAATGGTTAACAATTTATCATAAAACACAATCATATAAGTCCAATTATTAAGTCTTAACAGTACATCACAAAACACAGTCTATAGAATAAATTATCTATATTTAAGAGAGTAATGCTTTTGATAAATTCCAATGCATGAAAAAAAATATTCTTATGTAACTTCATATTTGCATAACAAATATTTTTTTTACAAAAAATAACAGCCAAACATTATGGTATTCACTACTTAGTGCTTAAAAAAAGAATCCAGGGTATTTCAGTCACAAAATTTCCGGAAATTCCAAGAAAATTTCCGGAAAGTTTTTGACCGATTCCGAGTTCCGACGGAAACTGCCCTTATCATATTCGATTCTGTTTTCGAGAAAATATTTCCAAATTCGTTTCTGTTTTCGAACAATTCCAACCAATAGATTCCGTTTTCGAAAATATGCCCGGAATTCGGAAAGTTTCCGTACCGTTTTCACCCCTACCCACAGGTTTACTGAAAACCTATAAAAGCCAAAAAAAAACCAATTAGTTTTAATCAATGCCACGAAAAACCAGCTAAAACCAATTAGTTTCCACAAACCAATCATTAGGGATTTAACAAAAATTGAGCTTTTTTATTAAAAAAAATTGGTCGGTTTTGTGAGCCCTGATATTGCCTCCCTAAGTATTGAAGCCAGTGAAAAACAACTCCCTTAGTTGTTTCAAGTGTTTTTGGTTGACGTGGTACCGACGTGGCATGTTGACCCAGTATTCATCCTACATGGCGCTTACGTGGTATTAGAATTGACAAATAAAAATTATAGTAGGACCCACGTGACTATTTCTTCCTTCCCCCTCTCTCTTTCTCTCGGTTTCTTTCCGCATCTTCTCTCATTGTAGGCAGAATATACGTGGAGGTGAAGCTCGCCGACACCATGTGTGAAGATGGCAATGGAACTCAATAAAGGAAGAGATGAAACTCGAGGCAACAACACTAGGCACCTCACACCGTCGCTACCATCGGACTCAGATGTAAGATGGTGTCGTGGAGTAGGAGGCCTCTTCAAGACACTAAGTAGATGCGGGCGTATGGGACTTGGGGACGCCCAACGAGGAGATAAGGGAAATCGTGCTCTTGCCATGCCACACGAGAGGCACGACCGATAGCAGGAAGGATGGAGCCAGGGGGGAGGGGGGGCTCTCGTCGAGCTTAAGGTCATAGTTGAGGTGGCGGTAGGCGAGACTCATTGAACCCGTCAAATCGAGGACCATACTGTTGCAAGGTGACGAAGTAGATGACATGGAGAAATTACATGTGGGCCCCACTTTATTGTTATTAATTTTCTAACTATAGTGTCACATAGACACCACCTTAGAAAAGACTAGGCATACGTGCAATAAAGACAGTTAGGCACCATGTTAACCAAAACCATTTTTAAAACAGCTGAAGGAATCATTTGCATTGATTTTAATAGCTTGGGGAGACGATATACCTGGTTTTCGGTTGAGCTAAATGATTCAGATTCAGCCAATAGTTGAGTAGTGAAGATGGACTTTTTCCGTGCCATGTTTGCCGTGCCTAGCGGGCCTATGGCCTAGACGCTGGTCCAGACTGAAGGGTGCGAAGTGAACTTGCCAGTCGTTGCCGCCACGGAAGCACAGGCCCTGTTATAAGACTTCTTTTTCGTAGCGGGCAGCCTCGGCCCACGTAGCTTGGGTGGGGTGTTAGACGAACCAGACGAAAAACACCGAGTGCGGTCCCAGATCTCCGAGAATATATAATAGCAGTAGACTGTTGCTAAGCTGGGACACCAGTTTTTTTAAGAACCGACACGGGAAGTTGAAGACATACATACAAGTAGCACTACTTCACTGTGCACACGTACATGGACAGACAGCTAGCGTAAGTAGGATGCATGTGGATGTAGCTGCACACAACATCCCAATAAAAAAGCACATGGCGTTTTCATTCCACTCTACACAAACTCATCATGCCGCTGATCTCTTACCTGTTACGGAGTACTACTACACTACTACAACTCTCTCTCTCTCTCTCTCTCTCTTGCAGCATTGACCTGTGCCGAAGCACACGCCAACATCACCATGTGCATCAATCCCCGAAGAACTCCTGCTCCATCGCATAACGCCCTCCTCCTTAACGGCCTCGATCCCGCGCAAATATAGTATTCGCACACACAGCTAGCAACGAGCTAGTCCGCGGCAGCAGCGAGCGCCAATCGATCGAACGAACGGGTGGCGCGCCTCGCATGGATCGCATGCTGCTCGGATCTCCCGCAGCTGGCGATCGAGCGAGAGCGAGAGCGCGCGCGCGGGGGAGGCGGCAGGCGGCACGGCATGCACGGGCGGGCATGTGGGCGCAACCGGCGAGCCGGCGACGGGGCGGGCGGGCGGCCTCGTGCCGCGGGAGGCGCTCACGTGGGACAGGCGGCATACACGTTTCCATGCTCTGCAAAACCCCGGGAATCTTTGTTTCCGAGGCCGACATGATCGATCCACCGCAATTAACCCGCCCCCTCTTGCGGTTCTCGTACTCCCATATCATATTGTCCACCTCCAACGATCCCAATATCAAAATCGATCGGGTCGTCGGCTTCGCTCGATCGTCATGACGCATGAGTCTCTCGTTGGATCACTCTGCTGGTGGGGCATTTCTTTTTTCCTCTCTCTCTCTCTGTTTCTTGCCAACATCTGTTGCATGCTGTGGCTAGCTAAGCTACTACTACTAGTATTAGCTCGCCTGGGTATCTGCAAGTCAAACTTTTTGGTGCTCGATCGAATTGATCGGGGACGATGGACGAGGCGACTCCGCACGTTAACTACATTATTTCTGGGGCGTGGGTGATCCCGATGCGGCGGTCTTTGCTCCGTGGTTCATGGCGGGTAGAGGAAGACGGACTTATGTCCATGTTCGCGTGTTCCTTCTACACTTCCGTCGCCCGCTACCCCTGTCTCATCTTCCTTGAAGTTTCATCGATCAACACCGTCCTCGGTCACACACACACGTTCGCGCGCTCAAGTCAAGATTAGTTACAAAATGCTACTCTTAACCTCTTACTTACTCTTCACGTGAAAAATGTTAATCGTTGGCAACAAATGCGGTTCCACAGATCTGTCGGGGATAATTGAATTGAGAATTTGAGATCGCCATTAAGATCAAACCGTCACCATGGACGGCAGCTGTGCTGCTTGTGCAGCATACAGTATACTGTGCCATGCGCGACCATTTGGCACGAACTGTTGTGGTGGTGACGCACCGGGCACTGTATGTAGGCGCAAGATTACAAAGTGGGAGGGGGTGCAGTGCAGGCTTAAGGCCAAGCAAGGGGGCAGGAAAATGTAGCGAGGCATTGGAAACAGAATTGAACTGTATACTGAGGCGGATGTGCCCCCTTGCACTGGCTGGAAAACAAAGGCCCTGCAAACTCGCCTGTCCGAATCCACAGCGTTGCCAAAGCGCCAATCTGACAGATGCCCTGTGCCTTTTAATCTAGCCTCAGCTGAAAGCTGATCCGCCCCATGTCTTGAGAAATATTGTTACATGCACAACGTGTGTGAATGGTTCCAGAGAAAGAAAAAAGGAGAGGCAGAGGAAAGCGACGTGCCAACTAACAAACATCAGGGGCGAGATCGAGCCAATGATCATTAAACAAAGTGGAGAACCAATGGTTTTTGTTTATCCACTTCTTTTTCTTTTTTTCCCCCACATGAAGCAGTTGGAGACTTGGAGCTAGTATTTTCCAAAGCCGCACGAATTAATCAAGGCAGTGATCTTGTTGGCGTCTTGCGCTAAATCAGGCTATGTCCCTTTCACATGAACAAGTGCTGAATACTCTACCCAGAGAGATATGCCGACGTTACAATATCCTGTATTCCGAGCGTATGACGATTGTCTCGACCCTTGACACGGGTTTTTGGCAGCTTTGCTTACTCGCTTAACAGTGTGTACGTACTCCAGTAGATGACCCGGCTCCAAAAGCATTCGATTTACTTAAAAAGAAAAAAAAAAGGCATGTGTCGTGAATTTTGTGATGTGCTCCACTTGTCTGGAATTTGTGAACAGTGAGCGCCACTACTACCACTCCGCTGTTGTTAGGCGTGTATACTACCTGTACCCCACAACTGGGTCGGGCGGGGACGACGGCGACGATGGGGCGGGCCCGGCGACAGCAGAAGGCGACGCCGATGGCACGGGCACGCATCGCCCGCGACAAAAATCCCACCTCGCGCGCGTGACGAGGCACAGAGCGCGCGCGCGCGCTAGCCCCCCTCGTCAGCGACGTCGACGCCCCACTACTACTCTCCACCGTGCAACCTGGCCCGGTTGTCCGGTTGCTGTCCACGGGGCCCCGCCACCGCCCGGGCCCTCGCCTCGCGACTCGCGACCCCGTGAGGCGAGGCGCGCGTACGTGAGTTGCCAATTGCCATCTCCGTTGCCGACGGCGCCGTTACGGGGGTCGGGGGGCAAAGGAGAGTTGACCTGCCACCCGCATGTGTTTGTGGGTGTGTTGCTTCGGGGAGTGCTTCTCACCGTGTCGTTGCTTGTTGTTTCGCTAGGTCTTGGGCATGGGAGATGTGAGGCCAAATCAATACCCGTCTCGGAACGAGGAGAGTTTGCTACAGACAGAGAAGCTCAATTAACCCAAGATGTTGTCAAAGGGAAGCTTCAAGATAGTAATTTGACTTGTCTGGATTGTCAAAGGGATATAGCAAGATCAAGTCACCAAACGGTTTCCAGTGCAGAGGTTTC